CATCCCATGCACCAGGCCTCTATCCTATATAGTAAAAGGGTAATATGCCTCCCAGCACCGGGATCAGCGGAGCCGCGAGGCCTCCTGGCACCGGGATCAGCGGAGCACTGAAGCCTCCCAGCACCGGGATCAGCAGAGCAGCGAGACCTCACTGCCCCGTTGTCAAGCGGAGCCGTGTGGCCTCCCTGCCCTGGTGTCAAGTGGAGCCGCGAGGCCTCCCAGCACTGGGATCAGCGGAGCCGTGAGGCCTCCTGGCCCCTGGAGCAGCATGACAGGGGACAGCACCCAAACCCCCTGATCGCCCTGCGGCTCTGTGTGTGACAGGGGGTGGGACCACAACCTCCCTATCCACCCTGCTCTGTTCGTGACAGGGGAAGGCACCCCAACCCCCTGATCAGCCCTGCTCTGTGCCTGATAGGAAGGAGCTCCCCAACCCCCTGATTGGCCCTGCTCGGTGACAGTGTGCGGCGCCCCAATCCCCCCATGGGCCCTGCTCTGTGTGTGACGGGGTGAAGCTCCAACCTCCCCATTGGCTCTGCCCTGAGTGTGACAGGGGGGAGTGCCCCAACCCCCTGATCAGCCCTGCTCTGTGGGTGACAGGGGGCGGCGCCCCAACCCCCTGATCGGCCCTGCTCTGTGTGTGACAGGGTACGGAGCCCCAACCCCCATGATGGGCTCTGCTCTGTGCGTGACGGGGTGGCGCCGCAACCTCCCCATCGACCCTGCCTTGAGTGTGACAGGGGGCAGCACCCCAACTCCCCAATCAGCCCTGCTCTGAGCCTGACCAGGGGCTGCACCTACGGATTGGGCCTGCCCTCTGCCACCCAGGAGAGGGCTTAAGCCAGCGGGTTGTTATCTCCCGAGGGGTCCCAGACTGTGAGAGGGCACAAGTGGGGCTGAGGGACACCCCCCCTGCCAGTGCACAAATTTTTGTGCACCGGGCCTCTAGTCTTTTCCACCAAACAGGCACCACCTAGACTTTTAAGGCTCTGATGAGCAATGGCTTGTTTAATTCCAGCACACAATTCTCATGTGCTGGAATTTCCTAATATGATACAATATGATGATGGAACTACCCTTACAGCACTGCCTCCCAGCTGTGGGTGAACATGGAATTTGATTCAAGGTATCTGACCCACAGGTCATTGTGTCACACCTTGATGGTGTTGAGGCCCACTGGCAGAATATTGAGAAGTGCCCTTTGTATGCCCAGAACTGTTTTGTACTCTAGATACAAGATCTTCCTTGCTTTCTCCTTGGACACAATGCCACCTGCATATATGAGCCTTCATGATAACCCAAAACCTGTAGGCAAGGCAAAGGCACCCAGCCTCTGGTGCCACTGACAAGACATTCTTTCATATTAAGTCCATGGATCTCACCACTTAATGAATGAATGTTTTCCTTCCATAGATAGGTAGAACCATGATCCATACCTGCTCAGCTTTCTTGAAGGAAATTGCTATGGGGACAGCCAGGGTTCTCACTGCCATGAAGGTTATTGTGACTCAACTTAGGTTATTCTGGATAACCACACAGCTTTGGACTATTAGCTGGCCAGGCAGGGAAACAGCCACACTGGCCAATATCCCATGGTGCTTCTGGGTTAACAGCATCAGCCAAGTCAAGAAGCCCAGGCAGCTACTGCAGGAGCAAGTCCAAGTCTTCAGGCTTCTCCTCTCGCTGAACTTGGGGCTCTTTCCCCGCTTGGCAGGGACTCCATGGCCCGATGGCCCTCGCCTCCACCATGGGCTTCCCTCTTCACTGTCTCTCCAGCAATGCCCACAACTAGTGGAAGTCCCAATATAAGTCCAGGTGACTCATTCCTTTTTTTATTCTATCCCTGTTGATTTCTACCTCTACTGGGCAGGGTGTGTTTGATGAGCCCCTAGGTCAGGGAATGGATCTTAGATCTTCTAAGGGCTCACTCCATGTTCTAGCAATGAGGCAGCAGGTAAGCACCAGAGGCCCCCCCCCCCCCACCAAAGCAGAAATGATTCCACATGGTCTCCACTTCCCAGGGTCTCCAGGTGACCTAAGCACTGCAAGCAGTTCCCCTGGTGCCTGAGCTCAGACCAGTTTTTCTTGACTTGCAAGACCGACTTCCCACTTGCTATAAAGAAGCAGACTCATGAGAGTGTGTGCGATGGGAGTTCCTCTCCTGGAGCACGCCCCAGGATGTTTCCAGCCACGCCCTGACCCCACACCTCTTTCCATACGATGATGGGGGGTTGGACAGAGAACCCAACATCTCACTCACTGCCTCCCTCTGCTTCTAAGTTTCCCCAGTGAAGCCCTTGCTGGTGTTTTCTGATTTCTCTTTGAGCCTTTGTGGCCCTTGCCCTCACTCAGTCCTCACACCTCTGGACCTCAGGGCTCAGTCCTCAGGTCCCTTCTTTACTCCATCTCACACCCATGCATGGTGATGGCTTTAAATGTCATCGACTGTTACCTGCCAGTGATGTTCTAAGGTGTATCTTTGATACAGATCTCTAAGCTAGGCACAGTCTCATCCTAAGGCCTCTGCATTGGATGTTCCCCCCACCATGGATGCTCTTCCTCTGCTGTCTGAATATCTCACTCCCTTTCTTCCTTGAGCTGATCTGTTAAATATTTCTTTCTCGATGAGGCCACCCTGACTGCCCAGTTTAATATTTATAACCTGCCCCTCTTACCTGGCTCTACTTATTTTTCCATAGCAGGTGTCACTTTCTAACATACCACTTCGCTTATTTATTGTTAGAAATACAGTGAGCCCCCAATATTAGGGGTCCTGGTAGAACACAAAGCATACTTGGGAGCCAGCCAGCAAGGCAAATATCTTTGGTGAACCTTTTGAGCTCGGCGTGCCAGTGTTTTGAAAAACCCTAACTTAACTCTGGTGCCGTGTCACATATAGAAATTCTTTTTGATATTTGAAACCATAGTAAAACAAAGACTTATATTTTTGATATTTATTTTATATATTTAAATGCCATTTAACAAAGAAAAATCAA